TAAAGTCATTGCAGAAAGTGGAAAAAAGAGTATTGGCAGGAGCATTTTCAAAACTATCAAGTTGGGTAGCAAAGGTAATGAAGTCGTCAATAGCACCCTCAGATTCCAAGCCTGAGAGTCAACAAAACAAAAATCAAGCCATGTAGAAGAAGTTTCGGTTACGTGTGTGACCCAATGATTAATGAGCTGGAGCGAGAGATCTTGAGAAAGAGTGCGAATGTACTCAGCGTCATAGCTTTGGGATAGCTGGTCGGCGTTATAATCACCTGTGATGACTTTATGATGGAAACCATTCATAGCATTTGAGTGTATAGCAACAAAGTTGTCAGGAAGGTTAAAAGGCGCGTGAGAAGGCCGATATACTCCAGCGAGGAAAATAGGAGCAGAGTTCTTGGGCTTGAGCTCGCAGAAGGTGGATTCAACGTGTCCTGGTTTACCGGTCCAAACATGAGTAGATGTCGATGGAAGAGAAGTAGGGCAGTCGTTCAGAATGTAAATACTGACGCCGCCACCATTCACATTACGGTCGTCACGAAAGATTTTATACCCAGGCAGACGAAGAACGCTGTCGGGAATATCGCAGCTGAGCCAGGTCTCTGTTATGACCAGAGCATGATACAAGCAGGAGCCGCTGTCCAGAAAACACCTCTGGACGTCCAGACACAAGTGAAGAGAATTGGCATTAAGGCAGCAAACATTAAGATGATAGGTAGCTTGCGTCGTAGGAAGAACAAAGCACGGCCTCAGACTGTCAGCAGACGGAGTGGCCAGTGCGGAGCTGGAGAGTTACTTACTATCAGGAGAACTGTATAGGTTGGCTAGCCTACCATGATCCTGTACGTTGTTTACAAGATGAACCAAGTCACCCTCCTCAAATCTATCGAGAACAACAGAATTCTTCGCCCACATGAACTTGAAACCTCTGACTTTTAAGGTTTCCTCATCCTTACCCAGCAAGTTGAATAAAGCAGTAGGAAGTGAGATGAAGTTCATCCCGGAAGCCTTCAAAGGACCCAGCCGTCGTTTCACAGTAATAACTTCATTGACGAGCCCAGTACGAGAATATTTTACCGCAATAAAAACACGTTTGGTTCTCTTCCTCCAGTGCAGCACCGGCTGCCATCAATTCATAGACCAGAGATTCAATTTCTTCAACTTTTGCAGTAAGAGTCGAGATATTATTGAGCGCAATTCTATTACTAGCCAGGGTTACGGTATGCTCGTTCAGAATGGCCCTTTGGTCATTTATTTCACGATGAGCCCCTTTGATTTCTTTAAGAATTATCAAAAGGATATCCTCCTTCGGTTTTTTAAGGATGAGAGACTGCTCCTTATTCAGATTCGGCATCGCTGAGGAAGCACTTGGAGAAAGCACTAGATGCAACCGAGGTAATGGAAGATGCATCAGAGTCGTTGCTATCAAGCTCTTTGTACTTACAGCACACTATTTTATATACATATAGAATAATGACTATTAACCAAAATTGAAACACTCCCCTTTTTCTTGTGTTAAAAGAATCAACTGGAAAACTTGGTCCACGGGTAAATGCATCTATTTTTAGACCAGATTGAATAATTTTTAAACCAGAATTTTGGTTAATAGCCATTATTTTATATGTGTATAAAATCGTGTGCTCGAAATAGGAATACGATTATTTTTTATTCTTAAAATTGTGTAACGCTAAATAATTGAAAATGAAAGTTAACTACTGACTCATAATCAACTATCGTCTCCGCGATACATTAATCTATTTCGTTATTGATGGTTTAAAAGTAGTTTTTCATTTATAAAAAGAGATGAATTCGAAAATCCCGTCGATTTTGCATTTGGAGATAACTGTAAGTCTCATTGTGAAATTCCAGGATGTAAAAATATCGAAATTATCCGTTGTGCATGGTGCAAAAAATCATTGTGTCTTGAAAAAAGGAATAGTTTTTTTGGCATCGATTTCCATGTTATTTTAAAAATTGCGAAGACACGTATCTTAGAATTTTTCTCCAATAATAGTTTTAAAGTTATAGATTTTTTGTTATTTTTAATGAAAAAAAATGTATATCCGTAAGTTTTGTTAATGTGTAAATAAAGGTATTTTTCATTATGTTTTCTGTTGTTTTTAACATGTAAGGTCATTTCGGAAAATTTCGATTAGAAATATGTGAAAATTAAAAATCACTTTTATAGGGTGTCAACTTGGGGGGGGGGAGGTAATTTATACCCCTTCAAAACGTTTTTTCGCCGAAAAACAATACGTGGTTCACTATTTTCGACATAGATTATTATATAAATATCTCAGCTAAATCGACGGTGACCACCTCACGAGGTTTCCTTGTTAGCATTGTTTTTGCCCTCTTAGGATTTAATGATCTTGTGCCCTGTGCTGCTGGCCATAAAAAAGTAGCAGATAAATAGTAGACAAAGGCTATACCCACTTAATTAATCGTCGAATAGTAAGGAATCTGCTATACCGATCCAAGGTACAATCCCATAGCAGCAGCAATATCGATGTATCAACAAAGATCACCATTAGTGGAGCAGTAAGCGTAGGAAGAAGTAGGACAGCTATAACAGCAGAGAATGATGAAGAATAATCTTAAAGAGCGTGCAGGCCAGAGAAAAAGCTCAAAAAAAATGCAAGCAAATGAACGGCCAGGTACACCTGAATACTGAAAGTATGGAGGCACAGAACAGCAGAAAAAGCACTTATAAGCCGGAGCACACACAAAGCACGTCACACAATACTCACAGATAGATAGGGAGTGACAAACAGAGGGAGAGGGTGAAAGTGGGGCGTGACATGGCGTGATTAACGAGTAGTTACTCTTGATCGTTTGCCAAATCGGATCATTACAATTGTTTTCCAATAGGAAGGTAATAACTTTATGTGTTTAAACAATTTTACATTGTTTTTAATGATTGCAGTCTATTATAAACAAAGAAACCAAAAAATTACCGGATTACAAATTCGAAATATTAGTTCTTTTTCGTGGTCTGAGTGCGACCCAAAAGGACAATACGACTAACTTTCATTCAAATGTAGGATGAGATAAAATGGTAAGGTTTAATTAGTTTTTATTCTAGATATGAAGTTACAATGTTAACTTAGGACAACTTTAGGCATATTAGTCGCGAGCCCTCCGACTTAAGACTGACTGTCCGTCTTCTTTTCCCGTTCTCATCCCTTCTGCGAGGGCGAGACTTGACCTCCCACTCCGTCGGTCACGTCAGTCCCAAGTCTGGAGACCACGTGTTGGGACTTTTCCCTTTTTATTAGGGGAAAGTCCTTAGAGTTAACCGTAAAACTTAATAGCTACAGAAAAACTTGAATTCTAGTAAAAAAACTAACGACGGGTTTTTCCCCGATCCTACATTCGGCCATCCTATTGTACCATCTGCCTCAGATGGTCAGTTAATGTTGTCTTCGAGTTCGTCACTGGTATCCAAGTCGCTGACAATTGCGATCAAGGCAGTATAAATTTCTTTTGTCCACGGCTTTAGATAGTCTGCCAGTGATGAAGTTTGTCGGGCCCTCTCATGTTCACCGACCTTTTTTAACATATAGCGATCGGTTCGTAGGATTCTGTTAACTTTATATGGCCCTACAAATTTCGGATGGACTTTGATGCATGGGGTTAGTTAGGTGCGCTTAAGTGCAACAAGGTTTCCTTTATGGTATTTTGTTGCTTTTTTGCGCTTTCTGTTAAATGTGCGTCGATTCTCTTCTTGGATAGCGGCAATCTTTCTGACAGCTTGTCGTCGGATCTCATCCCCGCTTTCCTCATACATTGCAATCCACTCTTTCTCAATTATATCTCGCACGTTATGATCTTCCTCCAGTTTCATGTGTGTACCTAGCAATAAGTGGAAAGGAGTTGTCGCAATGCTGCGGTGTGGGGTAGAATTTAAATATTTCTGTACCGTAGAAAGGTGTTTTCTTTGGGTTTGGGAGCTGATAGCTTGGTCAGTAGAGGGATTAATGTTCTATTCACGTGTTCTACCTGACCATTGCTTCTAGGTACACCTGTTGTTATGTGAACATTCTCAATTTTCTCCTCCTTACAGTACTCGGAAAATGCATTCGACGTAAATGCGGTATCTCGATCGCTAATAATTCTTCTTGGATTCCCGAATGTCGCTGATTGTTTCTTCAGGCGGTCGATTACTTCAGTGGAATCGGTCAATCGGGTAGCGTATAACCATACAAACTTAGAGAATGAATCTACTACGACTAGTCCATGACGATTTTTAGTAAAAAGAACGATAGGACTTTTGTCGTTTTTAAAATTAATTTTCCTAATTAATTAAGTTTTGCCTAAGTTACGCGAAGCAGCTAGTTCACAATTTACAATTTAAAAATTTCAATACTTCGATCCTGCAGGAAAAATAGATCAACTGATTTTTCTAGAAATCTAATCAATTGTGAATAACTATTTTCACGTCAACATTATTTTTCGATCTCGAGACAATCGAGACGACAAATAATCACATTAAATTTGATGATAGGAAGTTCATCGTCAGGGCACAAACTAAGCACAGACCTATTTTTCTATATTTTGGTATTTAACTTCAATTTGATGCTGCAACGAAGTTACGTAGATAATGTAGGAACTCAGGTCACCTACTAAATTGATCATAATGAAATCCTGTTTTTGTAAAAGTTATAGGATGTTAGCCTTCAATTAGTTCTGCTGAAGAGTCGTAGCTCACCAAGTCGCTTGGAAGCTGTTATTATATTTTGAACTGTTAGTTTACAGAAATCACTGAACTAGAAAACAATTTTTAAAGGAAAAAAAAATCCTCAGGATTATTGATAAAATCTTCACGTTATCATCTTTTCAGAGCAATATATTCTTTTAAAATGAAATTTAAAAAAAAAAACAACAAAACAAATAACACTTGTAAGCAAAAAAAAATGAACTATCGAAAGGAACGATTTCAAATGCAGAATTCTACGTAAATAAAAAAAAACGAACAATCAAACAAAAAATTAATGTATACTTACAATTTTCATGTAATTGATCAACGAATACCCATGTGACCAAGTATCCGTAGATTCGCACGAGAGAGGTTTTATTTCCATTTGTTGTGACGTATCTAGAACATGTAGTGCTTTGGCGAATAAATGTACTGCATCATACATAAGGGCAGTTTCAGTCTACAACATCATAAAACAAACATAACGATTGTCCTTATTAACAGAATATACGTGGATCTGGAATTAAAAATTCATAGTCTATAATTATTCTTATGAATTTATTTCACTCGTATCATCGTTCGCATTATACTTAGCATATTGCTTGGATACATTTACATGTATCTACATGTACAATAATATAAAATAAAAATAAAGACACTACAATCAAGTACTATGATCGGTAGAGTTAGAGATTCAATGTTATGTGTTGTGATATTACATCCTGCGTAATAAACGTATATGAAGATATAACTATAAGGATGGCGCATGTAAACATCAATATCTAGTAATTAAAGTCTACAACTCACCTTTATAGCGGTGACGTTGTTCTATTTCCGAAAATCGTAGCATGAAAGTAAAAGAGAGATTTAATTAATCAAACAATATACTTGTACGAAAATTTCGAATATGATATATCGATGAAATGTGAAATCAACTTAAAAATAATAAGTTCATTGTAAAAAAAAACATTAATTATGTAACAATTGTTGAAAATAATTCGATAAAAGTATACGAAATCTTACCAAATTTTACAACTAATTCCATAACTAATACCTAAGGAATAATTGTTCAATGGAGACACTGAAGAAAAAATATTCGACACTGGATTACTGTAAACTATTGTTGTAAATTTGGAAACAGTTATTGTACTATTGTTTAGCAATGTCAAACTTTTGCAATATGCGTTTTTTCCCTTTCATCTCTCACGTAGCGACAGCGGTGATTGATAGAAAAAAAAAATGAGAGTATTTTTTTGTGGAGAACCGAACTTATTACAAAAAAAGTCTGCAAGAGCACCTGTTTATCGGGAATAGGTAAAAAAAGTACAGCACTCCAAACACGCGCTCAAAAATTGACTGTTTCAGGTGCTCCGGCAGAACATGCCGTTGAGCACCCCCAGTAGAAATTAGTTCAGGTATTTCGGAGTATGATCAGATCCGGATCAAGCTACAGTACTATACCTCTTGATTGAACTCCTTAAAGAATCCTTAGGTAAATAAAGTTGTGAAGGACGATACCTGCAGGTATATTCTCACACCTTTTACTATTACGAGGGTCTAGAAGTATTCTTTCAGTTTGTGGGTAATATTTCCAGTCTACGATCAAAAGTCATCAAATAATAAATTTTGCAATAATTCACAATAATTGTATACATGCTTTAGTAAGACTAATCTTTCATGTAGATATTTTTTCTTCACCTTAGTAACAAATTATTTTTATAATGAAAATATTTTTTTGGTGTTATTCTGATTTCTACTAATATTTTACTATTTTATGAAGCTTCAACTGTTAAACGTGTTAATTATTATTACATTTGTGGATACTATATACTACCCATTGATATATATGTGATTGTCACAACTTGTGTAATAAGTCGATAGCCAAGCGGGTGAAGACACCGATTCAAGTTGCGCAAAGTAGTGGTCGTAGGTTCGCATTTCTCTAAATACAATATGTAATTATTTAATTTTCCGAAATTTCATTTAAATATCATCAATAAATTATATTCCTTATGTCAAAACCATAAAAAATAACAATCCAAGTATTTTTGGTTTTCAACAAAAAAAGTTATAGTTAAGACCTTATAAAGTCATCTGATCCGGACCGGATTTGGGAAGCAGATCCGGACTATTTCATATGAGGTGTCACGTTTATGACCACATACGGATCAAAAATCCTGACCAGTTCCTGATCAGATTTCAGGCAATCCTGAACCAGATCGGATCCTGAACTGAACTAATTTCTAGTCGACACTTTCTTTGTAAACAACAATGAAAAGAATATTAATTATCATCCCAAAATTGAAGGATGTGTAAAATCGCTTTCTGAATATTTTTCTATGAAAAATTTTTAACTTCCCAGTGGGAAGTTATAGTAATGAGTCCGATTTCGCGAATCCAGAATTTTGACATATCTCCACATTTTAAGGTCCCCAGAGTCGAATACAATCGTTTTCCAGTGGACGTCTGTGTGTGTGTATGTACGTATGTGCGTATGTACGGTCGGAATTATTTTTCGCCTCGATTATCTCGAGAACAAAAAATCATGTCGATGTGAGACCAACTGCATTCGACGCGTAATTATGTAACTTAGAATTGATTAGCTTTTCAGCAAAATCGGTCCAGCCATTTTTTTTGCAGAACCAAAAAACTAGCAAAAATGGGAAATGTCCTGAATTTCTCAATTTATAAATTATACCATTTTTTAGACAAAATTTCGAAATCTTTAAAAAAATATTAATATTAAATGATAAGAATACTTGTATGAAAATATAGTCACAATATTTCATCGAAAAAAAAAATTTTAAAAACAAAATCAGCAATGAAAGAATTTTAAACTCGTGTCAGGATTGAGAAAACAGCATTAAAGACGCTATGATAGTCAATAATAATTGTTAATAATATGGGATTGTATCCATAACAATTGAACATTGTTATTAACAAATGATTATTGATCATGGTAATATTTAAATAAAGAGTTTCAAAGTATTATAAACAATAAAAATAGGAATCCATGCTATATATTCGTGTTCTATTAACGTGTAATTTTTTATTTTACTGAAAATAAGTTACCAACTGTATGACATCAATGGAAACATACTTTTTTCGTGTATAACAATGGAATTCGTTATAAATAATGAAAAAAAAGATTCATGCGATATATTTGAATTCTTCCGACGCGAAATTTTTTCTTTCACTAAAAAAAAGCTACCAACCGTATAAGACAAATAGACAATCACTTTTTTTGTTCATAACAATTAAATCTGTTATAAACAATTGGAAACGGGTTTTATTCGAGGTGTTTTTTCATTTTTTCCACTGGGAAGTTGGTCGTGTGGACCTTTCGGTTATTGATTTATCGATTTATTAGAATTGTACAATTTATTTATTATTTATGGCTAACCAAGGCTGAGGTATTCATTTGTTTATTAGGAGTATCGATTGAAATCTTAATAGCATAAAGAAAAGCAGAGTTAAGAACACCAAATAAATTTGTCAACAATATGAACTATTGAGAGGAGAGTTGGAAGGCTGTAGTGGAGTAGAAGTGCAGTTTTCGCATGCTAGGAGATGTCTTTGCCTTAAGGGTTGTAGTCACGAGGCTGTTGCCAGTAAAATCGGACTCCAAGAAAAAAATGTAAGTGTGGAAGAGGTTGTCGGATTAAGTCTTGAGTTTAGGCATCGAATTTTGGAATTATAATTCAGGTTGTGGTGCACATTAGTTGTAAGTGACCCCTCGATATGAAAATTTAAGAAAAGTCACGTGAAGATAGCCACTAATAAGAAGTATTGCACGGCAGATTGAAAGAATTTTGAGTTTGGAGAGAGAATAGAAGAGAAGAGAATTTGGAAAAACGAAGAAGAGAGTCGATGGCAAGCGGAGCTCATGGAAAGTCGAGTGTGACCATCTTGGTGAGAGTGAAGAGCTAAGAAGGTTCCAGAAAGAAGAATAAAGACCAGAGATGATCTCCAATGGAAGTAGAAGAAAGTCCAGGACAACCAGGACTAGGTTTGACAGAAGTTAGAATATCGAAACCTTTCTGCAGAAGTTGTAAGTTATTATGAATTGATTTGCAATGGGTGAAAAGGTAAATTTGTAGTTAGTTGGAAATATTTTGTAGTGTAAAAGAGAATCCGTAAGGCTTGCTTTGCTCTCGTACTTGTTAATTTAAGTTTAATTATGAATTCGATTAAAGAAAATTAGGATTTAGTTTAATTTATTCAATTTAGAAAATTATTTTATTGCTAAAAATTTTGGTATTGCGTTTTCGAGTTTAGGATTTCGAGTTATGATTTATTGAGAAACATTGTGTTGAAGAGATACTCTTCAGTTAGTTATGTAAAGTTCATTTAAGCTCCAGAATTGTAACACGTTAAGTTTTATTGTTTTATTTTGAAGTTTGTGATTGCGTTAACTGATTATTTGATATAGAAATTTTTAATAATATTTTAAGCTCTAGTCATTATTAAGAAAGTCTAAATAACCTCCAATCTATCCCGTTAGCTATTTTATTTAATTTATTTCCAGTTCCTTTTGTTTCTTCATTTAACTAGTTTTGTTGGCTGGACACGACTCTTCTCCACATTCTACACAACTGAGGGCCAGGACATACCCTGTTCAGGAGGATCCTGATTTCGTAGAACCATCTTACTCAACTTAGTTATAAGTTTGAGGTCTCATTTTGAGTATTGAGATTTTTGAGACATTTTGTGGATTTTTAGTTAGTTAGTAAGTTCAAAGATATTGAGTTCAGATTTATGTTGGTATTAGTTTTAAGTTATGCTGGTGAATAAAAATAACTTGGTGCCCTAAGTAGTAGTAGTTTCCCAGGGATAGTTCTAATCAGGGTGTCCACCTGAATAAACACCCTTGAACTGAACAATATTTAATGCAATTTTAATACTGTCGAAATTGGGAGTAAATCTATTGAACGTTGCAATATGATCATATTACTACGAAAACAATCAGTTTAAACGAAAGGAAATTTATAATTTACTCTCGAGGTTTTTTATTTTTATGGATTTTTTGTTTAAATAAACACCTCAAATGAAATTTATTAGAAACTTTGTGCGAAAAAATCCTATTGATGGTGAGATTTAATCCTGGCATCCTTGGGTCCACAGTTCAGTACACTGTCGACTGAGCTATTTTAAAACATGATGACATGACTTTTTTAAAATATTTTTTAAAAAGAGAACATTAGAATAATTTCTGTAGAAAATCGATGGAGTAAAACGGCAAATACTATTCAAAAAATATTTTCTCATTTTAATATGCCACAATAGGATTCGATATTGTTTGATAGGTGTAATTTTGTCAAGATTTTATTGGAGATAACTAAATTGAGAAGGAAAATACAACTTGAAGAATATTTTTTCTTGTATCAATACTTATCAATAGAATTTGCTGTTTTTTAAAAGAACTAATTTCTACATTGATCTTTCTGTATAATTTCTATATATTCCTATAAGAAAAAAGCAAATTAAAAAAAAATAATATGACATAAAAAATATTTCTTCACTATTGGATATTCTAATTAGTTTTTTTTTTTAATTAGCCAGATTTAATTAAGTTCCTATCAGAAATAAATAGACTGAAAACAAATGTAAAACATAAAAAACATTTTCATGTCACTGGAAGCTTTAATAAGACTTTCAACATTTTAAAAAGCCTAATTTCTTCATGTTTTCATTAGAAGTAAATAAATTGAAGAACAAAATACGACTTAGTGTTTTTCAATGACCGTCTTCTTTAACAGAATTTAATGTGTTTTTACACAGAAGTCTTTATGAGGGAATGAATAGATTGGAAAGGAAAATGTGATTTA